CATGGGATGATCATGTCTCTACCTCTGCTAGCAATGCCCCTGGGATGCAACCCAGTATCAGATTTACATCTGCTGCTGCAGGGAATTGTTGGCTCCTGTTGGCTGGGTGTGCACTAGGAGTCTCCATCCTTTTCAGCAAGGCAGCTCTCCAGCCACACAGGTGTCAACGTGTACTGGGCACTTTGGCTATTCTGTTCCAGGTGCTGGACTAGATAGGTGTCTTTGTTAAAGTTCATACTGTTAATAAATTCCACTGTTTTCTCCATAAGAGGCTGCATATGAGCAGGTCTGAAGTAAGTATTTCAAGTTTCAAAGCGCACAGCTAATGACAAAGCCAAATCACATCAATGTAATCTGCAAGATGAAGAATGTAGAATTTTTATTCGTTACTGGGTTTGTGAAGCAGAGTATCTATTCTCCCCAGTCATACAGTTAGCCCTACCATTCTGTGAACAGACTACTATCAGGTGTTAAATTTATGATTAGGATAGGAACTATAAAATTTTGACTGCCTGAGAAAGAAGTGCTTGCAAAATTGCTAAACTTGCAACATAACCCATAAAAAATTCTGCCTGATGTTAAATATGTTATGTGATAATACCTCAATTTCTAATAATGTAGCCAAGGTGTTCAGGAAATTTGGTGGTTAAATTGTTGAGGGTAATGCTATATTCCATAGGGTTTACTGATCCTTCAGACTGTATCTTCTGCAAGTAGAACAAGTAACCACGTTCAGATCAGTTCTGGCATTTTGATATGCAGCAAAAGCATTTATTCAGCTTGAGAGCTGTAAGTTGCAATTTTTTAAAGACTTCTGAGTTTTGTAGCATGTTTTAAGGACACCAAACAGCAATACATCTGAATATAAAACAAGTGCTTTATAAATTGCTTTATCACACTTCAAAGCAGCATTGCTAGCAGGATTGCCAACTTCAACTGCAAAACTTGCCAATTTGGATCATGTGAAGGCAGGTGTGAGATTACAGCTGTAATAAAACTGAAATTGAATACTGGTAGCTGAATTTGTAGTAGGCAATTGATTTGATTTATATAACATAAGCCACATGAGGAGAGATATGTAGGTCAGCATCTTCAGCTGGAAGCGGTGGTTAGAAGAGTTGTGGTAGGTTGCTGGGAATATTGAGTTAATAGCTGCTCAGCCTGGCAGAATGCTGGTGCAGTGTAACTACATTCATGTCAAACTTGTTTGGGGAGACACCATTTGCAAAAAGGAAAAAATAGTCAGTTACAACCGATGCCACTTGTGCCATAAAAATTGTTGCTAAAATTAGCATAAGAACCTAGACCATATGGAGTTTCCCAGGGCAAGAACTGGTACATTAGTTATGAGCACATTTTCAGCCTGCAAAATACTTGAGGTGTGTAAATCCACAAATTAGTGATTAAACACTTCCTATGGTAATAGAACAATGTTTTACAAAATGCAAATGGTAAATGATCCAATTCAAAAAATCAGAGGAAGCACAATCAAATTAGCCTGCAGAGTTATTTCCAATCCAAACAGCCTCTTAGATAACAGATTTGCACAAAAGAAGAAAAAAATCCAAAATAAAGCACACACCTCTTAATTAAAAATATCCAAACTAACAACAGCAACAAGAACAACAACAAAAATCAAACAAAAAAAAAAGAACAAAAACATTAAACCAAACAAAAACAATCCACAAAAACTCCCCAGCAAAACACAACAAAAAAACCCCAATAAACAAACCCCCCACTTTTATGCTAAGAAAAGTGTGTCCATTTTTTTTTTTTACAAGGACTGAACTAATGACCTGGCAATTCTAACATTAGAAGGAGGTTTGATAAGAACAAGCACAAAATGAGAATCATGCTTTTAAAAAGGAAAAAAAAATATTAAGCATACAGAAATTACTGTCAGAGAGTTTCCCTTTGCCATTCCCAGGAAAGCACATGAGCTTTTGTCCAACTTATGAACTTCTGGAAACTGCATCCAGTCATGGTCAGTATAAACACTGCAGGGCTTATGAGCAAAAGTTTCTAAAAGCTTTATTTTTACAAAATTAACTTGAACATCTTAGGGATGCAAAGACTCCACTGGTGTGGACCAATGGAAAGTGCTTTTTCTTTTACTTTATCTGTAGTCTGACCTGATCCTCCAATGCAGGAAAGAAAAGGAAGCAAAAATCTCAAAACAGAATATGAAGAGCTGCACAATATTGCCATTATTATTTCTTTGTACAGAAAGGCAGGGAATATATGGACAGGGAGGAGAGAAGCACTAGAAATGTGTTTCGAAAGAAGTTCATTATTGTACAGCAAAAATTTTTTATGATGGTGGGTGGCTTGTATAGATGATTTAGGAAGACATATTGCTGAGAGAAAAAGGCAATGAGGTAATGTAGAAGTTGTGAGTGTTTCTGATGAATGTGAGTTTCTACAGTCAAGAGCCTCATGAATGAAGGCATAACCAGTGAATTAAAAGGAAGAAACTTAATGAAAATACACGTATAAGAAAACAACCCAGTAGAAATCTGAATGAGTTTGTAGCAGCCAAAGTGAGAAAAAAATTTTGTAGCAAAGCAAAACTAAGACTATAAATAAATCAGAGAAAGAAAAAATGACTATTCCTCCAAAAATGGGTGTTCTGTAGAATTTAATTTGTCATAATACTCAGCATAATACAGTGTCTTAAAAAATTTAGACTCATGGCTGTTACTTACTAAGCACAGTGCCATGATGATTACTGTTAGTCCACTTTATAGCCTGACAATTCTGAAAAACAAACAGAGCCAGAAAAAAAAAGAATAAGAACTTCAGATGCAGAGAGGAAAGAAAAATGAATTTTATAAAAAATCTTGGTTGCAATGGTACCAGAGAACATTATCATAATAAAAAGCATAAACTACCACTTTGACTGGAACTGGGAAAGTAGGTATTTTCAATAAGGCAAAAATCCTGGATTTATTCAGGAAAGGGGGTTGCAGACATTATGGATGGGGTATTTTTTTATTTAATCAAGCACACAGCACTGCTTCTAATGACATAATATTTCAGCTTTACTTGTCTTTCTGACATGTAATAAAAACTCACATTACTGTTACTGAAATAACCTTTATTGTTTCTTATTATGGTACCTCCCTTACCTGTTGAATAGTTGCAGTTTCATGTGACAGAGATGTAGAGGGTAAGGCAAACATTAGTTTGCCACTATCTTTTATGTTTGACAGCAGCTGGCTCACCAGTCCCTCTATGTGTTGTTTATGGCTTAGATCTGTGACTTTGAGGATAGAGAGGAATTAATTTCTTGTGGTGAGAAGGTGTAGCAGACATGGGGAGCAATCTTTACAATATTTTGATGGTCATGGGCTATAAGTTTTTCCCAGGTTTATAAAAAGTTTTATATCATGGTTCATTTGGACACGACTGGGACTTGTAGGTAGTACTGCCAAAGCGTAACTGATAATAATAAAATGGTCCTTTCTGAAGATGTATATGTCTGAGCTTTGAAAAATTCTCGAGATGGCTAAAGGAAACCTCATGGCAGAATTCATATATAACAAACTCTTGCAGAAGAAACAAATTAAGATAGGGTGAGAAGTCAGGGTTGAGGAATGACTAAATTTCAAATTAAAAGACTTCATTAGAGAACTGAAACATAAATTAAAATAAGGTGAGGGCAAACTCAAGACTGTTTATTCTAAGCATGTGCAAACCTCTTTTTGATGCTGTCTTCAAAATGATGCAGCAGGTAAATGTATTATACCCTTGGGAAGCATAAAACTTAGGGCCTGGTTCTCCTCACTACATAGTAAGAATGGTGAAAAACAGCCTTAAAGTAGGTATAAATTCCATTTAAGTCTTCTTTATGGCTCAGCAGTGGTAGAAGGGAGCCTCTGTATAAATGAGAATCAGGTCCCCAGTATTTATTTAACCCTTGGGCTTTGTATATCATTTTATTTGCACCTTTAAGAGATTTGCAGAGCGATTTTTAATCAGGATTTGGTGCACAGAAAGCTAAATGTTTTCATTGCCTTACAAGTAACTTTAATCATACAGGCAGATCATTCTCTTTATTTCTCAAGAGGAAATGGTAGATTTTCTTCCTTTGTACAAACCAAGCTAAATGTTTCTGACACCCTCAGTACAGTGTCAATTGGAAATTCACATTTCATGTAATAACAGACCATTTTAATTTCATGAGCTGAAGAATTGGTTTCCACGTTCAAATTGTACTGAAGAAAGCAATATTGTCAGAAGAACTGGCAAGAGTGCTTCAAGAGATAAATCTATTGAATTAAATAAGAGGCTTTCATTACCTTTTACGTTGCATTTCCATATAATATAAGCATTAATTAAACTCTTCATTGCATTCTCCTATTCAGCAGAGCACTTGCTCAGTGTGACAAGAAATGCTGCCCAAAAATACCTGTGGCACCCAAACACACTCATTAAAATACACTTAAGCAGAAGGGAGGGAAGGAGAGAAAGGAAGAATGTTTTGATGCACTTGTACAAGTGGGACCTGTCTACAGAAATGCATAATTTCTGTTCTTCAGGTTTTGACAACAAATGTATAATTTCTGTTTTACAATTTTTGACAGCTCCAATGATTTATAATAGGTCATCTCACTAGGTATTTCTCCAGGCAATTTGAATACAAACAGAAAGCAAGCAATTGTTTTTCAAATTTGAGGTATGACTCAGTGAATGTGGAAGGCTTCTTCAACATGGGAGAAAAATTTTGGTGTGAGGCAGTTTTAAAACAACTCTGCAAAGTGTGCTTCCTCTTCCCTACAAGGAATACCCAGCTATAGCAAAGCTGTGCAAGGAATACCCAGCTATAGCAAAGTTGTCCATACAAATTCGAGATGTTTCCTGCCAAGCTCTTTAAGTCAAGCCTTAAAAAGCTCCCTGGGTAGCCCACCAAAACTGAAGAGCCATCATGAATTTTTGGATCTGGCACATTTCTATCTGTATTCAAATATTTCTAATTCCTTCTTTTTTTGTGATTCCAGGGGAACATTTGAGAATCTGCCCTCAGGAATATACATGCTGCACCTCGGAAATGGAGGACAAGTTAAGCCAGCAGAGCAAACTGGAGTTTGAAAACTTGGTGGAAGAGACAAGTCACTTTGTACGCACGACTTTTGTATCCCGGCACAAGAAGTTTGATGGTAGGCTGGATATAATTTACTTATTTTCAAGGTTATGGGATTTAAAAGCCATAATATCCATAATATCCATAATAAATTCCAATGTTCTTTTCTTTACAATTAGATATCACATTTGCAGTTGTCAGTTTGGCTGAGATAAGCGTTAATATACAGCTGGTATGCTTATCAGCCTTGTGAGTATTGCCTTTAATTACAATGACATCAAGAATCAGACTGTTAAGTGCCTGCAGGCTTGGCTAATGTTGAAAAACGATATTAGATATGCATAGAGAGGTTTATAATTTTTGTCTCCTAGTTTCAAATGCAAAATTTAGGTTTGTAATTATGTTCACTGTTGCAAGATGAACTGTGGATCTCCCATGATTTTTGTTATTGCAGAGCAGTATTTGTGTAGTCTGCCTTTTTATAGCCTTAAGGCTGTTGTTTTATTCCTGCATGATTTTCTTGTGATGTACACAGACTCTAAGAGGGCTTCTGGCTTCCGAACACGAAGGCCTCAAGTTGTGTTAGAGAGAGATTATCATATAAACCATTTAAGCAGCATTGAACACATCGTTTCTACCTAGAAAGAGTAGAAAATAACAGTTTGAGGGTTTTATTTCCTTGTGATCAGCCTTTATAAGATCTTTTCCAGATCAAAATTACGCTGTCACAATTTGCTAAGTGTTTGTCTTTGATAATGAACATTAAGCTACTTTTGTGGTTGTGTCCATATTTTCAAATCATGGTTTTATCTAAATATGAAATCTGTATTTGTGTCGAAAGTGTCACCTGAGCATTTTTACATATGTGTAAGTTGAAAAGGGCCTGGCATTAAGAGGTGTAAATGAGCATTGCAAAGAGGATTGCAGACCTGCATGTAGGTGGAAAGCCTGCAAATAAGTGGGTAAAGCTGACTAACCCCAGGTAACAGATCATATGCACACATTTAGGAGAGCGGTGGAAGTGTTATCTCTGTAGTTGGAAGCTTGCTTCAAAACTCTTTGGTCCCATTCAGAAAGAAGTGAAGATGTCTCTAACTCATTAGGGTAATTATGTATTATTATCCAATGAAATATATATATTTTTTTTAATATTGTGTCTCTCAATGTGACACAGACTAAAAAAATAATTATAAAAAAATGAATGGACAAAGTATAATATGAGGATGAGCTGGAGAAAAGTCTCTAACAGATCAGATACTAATGTAATTTAGAGAATGTCCTTGGAAGTCAGGGATGACTGTGCACTGCTCTGAATTGTGATGACTTCCCTTTTTAATTTGAAAGTTCCATTTTTTTATGTAGTGGATTTAAAAAATTTGCTTGTCTTCAAAAGTCTTAAAAAAAAATCTAGAAGTTGTGTGTAGTATTACAAGATGAGTGTGTAAGCAGAAAGACATTTCAAAGCATCTATGGACATTCACAGGACTTTTTTTTTTTGGTAGAAGGAAACCAGGTTATCACTGGTGTTCAGTGATCATGCAGCACACTGAAAGAGCTGGGCTCATTGACCACAGAGCTCAGCCAGCACTTTGCTAATTCTTTGTCAAATTCAGGCCTTTCTATACTGCATTGAACTTAAGGACTTATAGCTTTCTCAGTAATGTGAAGTCCTGTGTCTTCATACTGATGGTAAGGTATGGCTGAAAGTTCTTTATTGGCTGTAAATGCCCCACTCTGGGATCTGCTCCATAGAAACTTGGAATTAAAGACTAAGTTGTTTCTTCTATTTTATTATTCCTGTTTTAAATGGAATTTGCAATGTGTTGTCTTACCAGAGAGCATTTGAACTTTGTGTATGTCTTCAGGATTTCAATGTTATTCTAAAGTTATTAAAAATTTGTTCACTTGTGTGGAAAAACTTCTTTCTTTCCAGAGGGGCAAAGACATTAATGGAAAAATATATTCACCTAATAGACTTTCAGAGTAAAATCATCTATATTTCTTGCAGTTTAAAATATGATGATGCTTTTCAAGATAAAGCAATGCTAAGATTGATAGCTAGGGTCTGTGTTTTAACTGTTCAAGTATAATCCATTTTTTCTTGCTTTTTAATTTGGTACTATGATTACACAAAGCAACTCTGATTCTGACATTTAATGCCATTTAAGTACACCACAAACAGCAAAACAGATACAGCCAATTGTGATGATTTTATGGAAGTTTTGCACAGTACCTGTGTTTGTCAAGAGCAGTGTATGGAAGTAATAAAAGAATATATTAGTGTCTAAGTAATGTTGAGATAGATATCAGTGTTGCTCCCTTGAGGAGTTAATTTCAACTATAGTTGCTGCCAAGCTCTTTTTTGTTCAGACATTCATATAATTTTAAGAACTCTTGAAAGGACATCAAAGGGATATCTTGTAGATTTATAAGTTTTTTTTACTGCTGTACTACACGTCTCAGGGTAATACTAAGTTTTGCATCATAAGACTTTTTAGAGGTATGTGAATTCTTGAATTTTGAGCTGATCTTCATAAGCCTTGTCTTTCTTGATTTGTTTTCTGCCCCACTACCATACACTCAAGCACAGATAGAATGATGTTATGAGTTCCATTTTGAAAGGCAATTTGAGATCTGTTTTTCCTTTCAGGATTTTTTCCCAGATTCCTATTCATGATCTAATCTAAAAGGAAACTCTGTGACTTGAACAATGTTCAAGAAAGAATCTGCTGTAACTTGAACACTGCCTCTTTAACCTCTGATGAGGCAAAGATTTTTACACAGAATCATGGAATCCGATTATGATTGAAATGTGATGGGAGTACCTTTGTTAGCCCCTGTGCTCCAAGGAGGCAAAGCTATCACAGGTCACCCAGAATCTGTGCAGCTGTATTTTTAATATCTCCTTGGATAGAGACTGCTCAGCATCTTTGAGCAACTTGTGTCAGTGTTTGACCATCCTCACAATAAAGTGTTTTCTTCTGTTTACATGGAATTTCCTGTTTTGTTTTGTTTTGTTGTTTTGTTTTGTTTTGTTGTTTTGTTTTGTTTTGTTTTGTTTTGTTTCTCTTAGTTTGTACCACTGTTGTCACTAGGCTATATATCCCCCGACTTGATATTCATGCACGTTGATGAGATCCCCTGCACCTTCCCTTGTCTGGGCTGAACAGTCACAGCTCTCTCTGCCTCTGCTTTTAGAATAGGTAGTCCAGTCCCCTCATCATCTTACTGCCTTTTGCTGGGATTGTGCCAGTGTGTCCATATCTCTCTTGTACTGGGGAGTGATAGGCCTGGACCTAACTCTCCATGAGTGGCCTTATGAATGCTGAGATGAAGATTCCCTTCCCTCAATCTGCTGGCAATTTTCCTACATAATTTTTGTGTCAGTTTTATAGTCTATTTTACCTCAAGTGTGTTACTTCCAAATCTCTACTGGAAATAAATTTCTGTAATAATTAAAAGCAAAAGCAGCTAAAGATGAAATTTGTAACAGAGAACTTTAGAAATTACTAAGTGATTTGGAACCATCTACGATTAGAAAAATTATACCTTTCTTTTAACTGTCAATCAGTTCTTGCATCCTAAAGCCCTTTTTAATCTCTCATTCCTTATTCATTTGTACTTCACATTTCTAAAGGGCTGTCACTGTATTGGGACTTTTGAGTGCTCCATTCTTCTAAACTCGTTTATTCCTCATAGTATATGAGGTTCAAAGATGTCTCAGAACCAAAGATCTGACAATAGATTTTTTCATTCAGTTTCCATGTCCTAGACAAATGATGTGCATTAGCATAAGTCACTATGCAACATAATGCCAGCTGCCAGTTGTTTCTTGGCTGAGCCCTATGTGCAGATTTTTACATCTGTATTGCCACCATCTGCATATTTGTCATTGCATTGACATACTGGATGGTCATTTCAAGCAAAATCAGTATCTGGAATTTCACTAATCGGTCTGTGAGGATCCATAGAGTCTTCTCCTAAGAATATTGCTAAATAAATAAAACCTTGAAATGAGAAAAATTCCTACCAAACAAGTGTTCAATGGTCCTAGCAAAGAGTGCAATGCCTGTTTCGGCAATGGGACACACATACCCTTCCAAACTAGGAAAAGAAAAAAAAGCCTTTCCAGCAAATAGGAAACACACAAGTGAAAAATTCCAGCAGATACAAATTATTCTCTTACTTCAAGGCTTTATGCAAGACTAACCCATATAAACAAACACGTAATGATCAGCTGTTTCCAATTCCTAACAACAGAGAAGTAATCACGCTCCACTTCTTGGACCTCCACTGTATACCTCAAAGCAGCTTAAAATATATTATGCTCCCAGTGTAGCTGTAATAGTATCATCTTATTATCACCAATTCCCTTGCATAGTGACATTGCTGAGCAGCTGTTTCACACACAAGCCAATTTCTTTTAAGTATTGCTCCATCAGCAGCTGAAACCAGCCTGGCCGGAAGGTTTTGTCATGAATGTTAATGAGGAGACAAGTAGCTGTTCAGTGACATTTTCTCACTAATCCTTTGAATAAGTATAGGGAAAAATATAACAAAGAGTTTTAATTTAAGCTAAATAGATCTGAATCTGATAAAAGACACACTGTCTCCTCATTCTCATCAAAAATTACACTAGCAGTCTTAGTAGTGGTGTTAAAAATGAAGGAATGTCTAAGAATAGCTATCATGAACTTAAATGGATATGGATAGCCTTCAGCAGAATGTGTGAGGCATGGTGCCTTTTAAGAAAAATAACCCAAATAGCCTAAGGACCAATCTGCAGCTTCATTGATCTATCATACAGTGCCATCATTCCCTGAGCTCCGTCTTTTTGCAGTCTAGGAGAACAGTGATCCATACCCATTAGTGCCTCTCATATATATCTTACAGTCATTACCAGCAGTAGTGGTGTAAATTACAGGGCAGCAAAAAAAGTTTCAGAGATGATCTCCCATAGTAATACCTACAAGAATAGCTAACATCCCAGACACCCTGTATTCCCTTTTCTTGCACACTTTATGAAAGAACTTGGAGAAAAATAGCAGGTTTGAATCTTTCCTTGATACTAGAGCT